TCTGATCCAACAGACGAGCTTATAGGTGAAATTGCTGAAAAAGTTGATGCTGTTTCTGATCAGAACAGGTGTCAGAACACACAGTGCATGACAGTATGTTGCATACGGGGCTGCATAGCACCAGACCAGTCAGGGTACCCATGTGGGCCCCTGTCAACTGTTTAAAACACCTACAATGGGCACGTGTGCGTCACAACTGGACCACGGAGCAATGGAAGATGGTGGCCTGGTCCGATGAATCACATTTTCTTTTACATCATTTGGATGGCCGGGTGCGTGTTCATCGCTTACCTGGGGAACACAGTGCACCAGCATGCACTATAGGAAGAAGGCAAGACGGCGGAGGCAGTGTGATGCTTAGTGCAATGTTCTGTAGAAAACCTTGGTTCCTGCCATTCATGTGGATGTTAATTTGACACATAGCTCCTACCTAAGCATTGTTGCAGACTATGTACACCCTTTCATGGAAATGGTATTCCCTGATGGCAGTCGCCTCTTTCAGCAGGATAATGTTCCCTGCCACAAAGCAAAAATGGTTCAGGAATGGTTTGAGGAACACAACGAGTTCAAATTTCACAGATCTCAATCCAACCGAGCATCTGTGGGTTGTGTCTGATCCATGGAGGCACCACCTCGCAACTTCCAGGACTTAACGGACCTGCTGCCAACGTCTTCCAGATAGTTTGCCAGATACCACAGCACACCTTCAGAGGTTTAGTGCAGTCCATCCCTCAATGGATTAGGGCTGTTTTGGTGGCCAAAAGGGGGGCCTACATAATATTAGGCAAGTGGTCATCATGTTATGGCTGATCGGTGTACATTGTTGTTACTGTGTAGCCTAATTAAAAGAATGAAAATAAATACTAGGTTCCTCAGTTCCTCACTGAGCAACCTTCATCTATGTCAGTGGCGCTCAAAATGGGGTCCGGGGACCCCCAGGGGGTATACACATTCTATCCATAAGTAACACAATAAAAAAAACATACGACTATTTTGGTCATGGATTGCATAAATGTTCTGTAATAAAACATATAAAAGAAAAAAATCCTATCAGATGGGAGAAACTGGGACAAAATTGTATCAAATGGGGGTCCGTGGTCTAATTTGTGTCAGTTTAGGGGTCCTTAACAAGAAAAAGTTTGAGAACCACTCATCTACGTTATGTTACATTACTGTAATACAAGCCTTCTATAGTTGTGCACCTGATAAAGGTAAGTTTATTTTCTACTCTAGCCTACCCATAATGAACTGCTGCCGTGCTGGCGAACATGTCTGCTAGGAGCAAATCATCAAAACTTGTTCTTTTTCCAATTTCTAAAACATTGGAGTAGAAGACATTGGCATTGGCTTGCCTATACTGAAGGCAGTATAGGCAAGCATTAATCTAGTATAGGCAACACCTCACTGAGAAATTAAGGACTAATTAGACTGGCAATATAGAATGGATCCCCACTGTACTCAACTTGAGTGGCTGAGCTTTTGGAAAAGTCTTCAAGTCAGCAAATCAATGAAAACCTTAATATCCCTGCTGTTACACCCTAAACACAGGAACAGTTCTGATACAAAGACATCACATGTAAGAGCTGTGGCGTACATTACGTCTGTCCTGGGTAAGAGGCTGAAGAACACTGGAAGCTGTCAGCTATCTCTGAACATCATACAAACAGGCCACAGTTTTGACCAGACAGGTGTCAAAGTCATCGACCAGGTCAGTGGAATGCCAGAGGAATACAAGTACGACATTAACACCCACACTAAAGACCATCCTTAAACAGATACAGGGGTCGTCATCTCCCCTACATAAACCACTAAGTGTTATCATGTCCCAAAAGTTCCATACTTCGCTCACGTGATGGTCACCTGTTTCATTTACTGAAGAAGGCTGTGAGATACAGTCGAAAGACCTACACATGATGTGCACACATAGAATAATAAAAGAATAAATATGCTGTTCTCACATTATATGTTTAGCATTATGTTGTGCATCTAGTGTGCACAAAGTGGATCTAACATCTTGTGCAAACAATTACAGGTGCTTGTCATATAATTAGAATATCATCAAAAAGTTGATTTAATTCCATTCAAAAAGTGAAACTTGTATAATGTATACATTCATTCCCCACAGACTGATATATTTCAAGGGTTCATTCCTTTTAATTTTGATGATTAAAACTGACAACTAATGAAAACCCCAAAATCAGTATCTCAGACAATTAGAATATTGTGAAAGGTTCAATATTGAAGACACCTGGTGCCACACTCTAATCAGCTAATTAACTCAAAACACCTGCAAAGGCCTTTAAATGGTCTCTCAGTCTAGTTCTGTAGGCTACACAATCATGGGGAAGACTGCTGACTTGACAGCTGTCCAAAAGACGACCATTGACACCTTGCACAAGGAGGGCAAGACACAAAAGGTCATTGCTAAAGAGGCTGGCTGTTCACAGAGCTCTGTGTCCAAGCACATTAATAGAGAGGCGAAGGGAAGGAAAAGATGTGGTAGAAAAAAGTGTACAAGCAATAGGGATAACCGCACCCTGGAGAGGATTGTGAAACAAAACCCATTCAAAAATGTGGGGGAGATTCACAAAGAGTGGACTGCAGCTGGAGTCAGTGCTTCAAGAACCACCAAGCACAGACGTATGCAAGACATGGGTTTCAGCTGTCGCATTCCTTGTGTCAAGCCACTCTTGAACAAGACACAGCGTCAGTAGCGTCTCGCCTGGGCTAAAGACAAAAAGGACTGGACTGCTGCTGAGTGGTCCAAAGTTATGTTCTCTGATGAAAGTAAATTTTGCATTTCCTTTGGAAATCAAGGAGTCTGGAGGAAGAGAGGAGAGGCACAGAATCCACGATGCTTGAAGTCCAGTGTAAAGTTTCCACAGTCAGTGATGGTTTGGGGTGCCATGTCATCTGCTGGTGTTGGTACAGTGTTTTCTGAGGTCCAAGGTCAACGCAGCCGTCTACCAGGAAGTTTTAGAGCACTTCATGCTTCCTGCTGCTGACCAACTTTATGGAGATGCAGATTCCATTTTCCAACAGGACTTGGCACCTGCACACAGTGCCAAAGCTACCAGTACCTGGTTTAAGGACCATGGTATCCCTGTTCTTAATTGGCCAGCAAACTCGCCTGACCTTAACCCTATAGAAAATCTATGGGGTATTGTGAAGAGGAAGATGCGATACGCCAGACCCATCAATGCAGAAGAGCTGAAGGCCACTATCAGAGCAACCTGGGCTCTCATAACACCTGAGCAGTGCCACAGACTGATCGACTCCATGCCACGCCACATTGCTGCAGTAATTCAGGCAAAAGGAGCCCCAACTAAGTATTGAGTGCTGTACATGCTTTTCATGTTCATACTTTTCAGTTGGCCAACATTTCTATAATCCTGTTTTTGTATTGGTCTTTAGTAATATTCAAATTTTCAGAGATACTGAATTTGGGATTTTCATTAGTTGACAGTTTTAATCATCACAATTAGATGAAATAAACATTTGAAATGTATCAGTCTGTGTGGAATGAATGAATGAATATAATATACAATTTTCACTTTTTGAATGGAATTACTGAAATAAATCAACTTTTTGATGATATTCTAATTATATGACCAGCACCTGTATATAGCGCAAACAAAATATTAACTTGTGTGCATAAGATCATACCTTGTCTGCACAAGTTAACCCCTTGACGCCGATGGTCGCAAATTCGCATCATACCTCTTCCTTGCAGACTGCAAGCCAAGATAGCACATGGATTCTCCCAATGCCTGTTGGTGCATATTTGATACGAACGTAGGAACCTTTTGCAAGCCCCGGTTTCTCATTTATGCCTGTTGTCGCTAATTTGCATCATACCTACACATACCTGAATTTATCTCTTTTCTATGTTCTAAAGACAAATTAACAATCTTCACTTAATTTAACATCAGCTTGAAAGCAAAAAAACACATTTTTTTAAATTTTTGATTGTAAAAGAATTCAGGCGTTAAGGGGTTAATATGATGCGGTATAACTATTATATCTTGTATATTGTTGCTGTGCTCAGTCTTACAATTGTGTTGTGCTTTTGACAGTAAACTGTCTTCAGCGACCTGACTTTGTTAGCCGAGTTTGGCTGTTCCTCACCCAGTTGTATTCCTCCTACACAGCTGTTTCAGTCAATGTCTGTTTCATCCTACATTGGTGATCATTGATAAAATCATCCACCTAACAATACGCCTACAAAATCCATGACTATGTGCAAGTGAACCTAGAAGAATAGAAGAAGGGATGCTGTTTTGACGGCAGTGGTCACACCAACTAGTGATTTGTTTAAAATGAATGTTTACTCACTTTGTATTTTGGTAATTCATTATCAGTATAATCTATTAACATATCTATTTTTGAAAGCATTCTTACTTAAGAGTATTTTTTCCACACCTGCCTAAAACTTTGCGGGCTACTGTATATACACAAGAGGGGTGAGTGACAACCACACAGGCGGGAAACACACCAGGGCAGGACATGTAGTGAACTGAAACAAGAGGTGAGAAACAAAGTAAAATAGGAAACAGAATGAATGAAAGACACAAGAAAAAACGCACAAATGCACAAAGCAGAAACACAAAGACAGGAAGTTAACAAGGACGCATGATGAATGATTCCACCAAAATAAAACAGGAAATACATAAGAACTCAAAACCATGACACATAGGTTACCTAAGGTTTCCAGCATCACCCCGTGACTTTCCCTCTGTCCCCTTAACTATATAAGCATTTATCAAAAAGATTTCTTTTTCACATTGCCCAGAAAACAAGCGTATCTGGATGCATGAGTAGTCCTTTCTGAAACACAACTCCACATGTATTAACAAAATATGAGTGACAGGGTTTTTTTAATGATGGAATGGCTGATGAAGGATTTCTCGTGTTTATTGAACTGTCTACCATTTTACTTTACCATGTGAAATGAAAAAAAAAGTAGAAATAAAGTCAAAACAGACAGTAAGCATACAAAAGTCCTTTACAAATTATTTTATTTCAGCATAATAGTAAGAAGCCTCTCCTCTGATTTTCATATACTTGAAACTAATTGGATCACAAGGGTACATATTAGTTAGCCCATTTTACAATAATCATTGTAACATTTTTTTTTAGGAAGTTATTCTTATGCACTCGTTTTCCTACACAAAATAATCAATATCAAGATCCTATCTTAACTGAGGACCATAACTCTGCATGCAAGACTAATAAAAGAAAACAACTAATCTGTGATAGCTACTGTTATGCTGTTGTTCATCTAATACCATTATCAATATAATTTACTACAAATACCAGGGACTTCGTATAAGAAAGAAAACATTTTCTTGTGGTACTACTGCCTCTAATGTGAAAATTACTGAACATACTGGGCTCTCAACTGTACTGATCCAAATTGTTCTGTCCATCTTCTGTGTCAAGTTGAGGAGAAATAGGCTTTGTCTAAAACCTAAAATCTAGTACAGTCTGAAGGAAAAAAATATCCATCTCTCTTTTTTGTCTTTTTTTCTCTTGCTTTCACTCCAGTGTTTACAATTTCATCAGAATAAAAAAAGGTCCTTGAAACAATCATCAAAAATGTGATGAGAAATTCTCAGACAAATAAATCCTTGGATCTGTCTGACAAAATTAAAACTCAATCTTATAAACAAATTATCTGAGACTCAAGGATTCTATTGCATTTTAACAATGAGATTGATAATACTAAAAACAAATGACAAAAAGGTATTAACAAGTGACGTCAACTCTATACTGTATTGCCCTTTAGCCGTTTCAGTATGTGCTCGTGCCAACAGTATCCCTTCCACAGATTTGGAATAGTGTTTCCAGAGCAAAATGAATGCATTTCTCAAACTTGGCCCCTTTGCTACCACTGGGTTTTTACTTTATCTCAGTCACACTGAATACCATCTCTGTACACACCTTAACTGTAACACAACTTTGCCCTGACATCAATGAACCATTTAAAGAAAAATCTCCCCAATAATACTTTTGGTAAAGCACCACATACCTCAGTATCCTGTGCTTCTTATTTGTATCAAACACAAACATCTGTTCATCCTACAAATCAGAGATCAGTTAATGCACTCTGGGATTTCATCTCCACATTCAGTCTAAAGCTTATCTGGACCTTTAAATTTAAAAACAGAAAACAAACAAACGTTAAAATAAGACTGCAGTGCCCTGAAATCACCCAAGATGGTTTCAGCCACCTGTTACTCGCTGTGGCATCATAGAACAGGTGTAATGTCTTGATATGTACATGTACGTTCAGCCCGGCAGACTAATCCACCCACCCAGCGCCGACATTTCTGGATTAAACGGACCAGTTTGGAAAATGCAATCCCACTAGTTCACCAGTCACAGAAAGGATCAAGTTTGAGAAACTGTTCAACAGGCAGCAAAGTGGTCCTGATCAACCCGCTCTTTGCTGTCTGACTGCCAAAGACTAACAGAGTACGCTCACAGCTCATCATAGGTAAAAGAAATCGTTCGTTACAGTATCATTTAGTACTACAATGATTATTTGTGTATCCGCACTTACTTAAGGCTAAATCCAATGACATGACAGACATCCATTATTACATACCAACCACAAAATATTTGGATAAAAAAGGCAATTGTTAGTGTGTAGTAGAGTCGAGTAAAGTGTTGATTGCGCTACGGCCTGTGACTGGCCGAAGCACAGCAGTGGGGAACAATTTAGCACCACTGACTTCTCATAAGGACTCCCAGGGGCTCCCTTCAGGATTACATACTGTGCACACTGCAATCAGTAACAATGACTCAACATATTCATTATCATTAAAAGACAAACTCTCTTGACATGAGAACACATTAGTTTGTTTTAGCGCCACTGAAGCCACCAACATTCTGTAACTATGACAGCTTTAGGATAAAAAAAACAAAAAAAACATAGCATGATGATGAAAGGCTGTCTCGTCTTAGTAAATACATTTGATCCACAATAATAAACAGCAGAGAAAAAGGCAAATGGAAAAAACAAAAACAACACACTAAGGCCACAAGATTTTGTATAACCCCGCTAATCTCACGATGTGAGAATCTGTACAAACAACATAATGGGACTTCAAGTGGCCAACCTGCACTGGTTTTAGACCAGGGTGCATGGACAGAGCAAGGAGAGACACCTTTCTGCTAAGTACTGGAGATCTCTGTATATACACACACACGCACTGTACATACACAGCTGAACGTACAATAGCGTCAGTAAGTGTGGGAGGACGACTTACTAAGGCTGCCATCCTGTGCCATTTCCTGAGTCATCAGCATGTCACACGCGACGCGGAGCATGAGATACACAGGTGATGCTCCTGGGACTCCACCCTGCATGTCTGACAGAGAGGCGGTCCACTACAGGTTGCCCTCTCATCATCCACTTCTTGGAAGTCCTGGTTTACTGTTATGATGCACTGTTTGATATTCCTTTTTTTTTTTTTTAAATAAAAACACACTTACAAAGTTACTCAGGTTTCCTCAGGTTTTCACTGAAAATGTGGGGACAGACCGTATTTGAACCATTTTCTAATTTTCTGTTTCTTAATGGCCTATTTTGTGCCGGGGGGGAAAAAAAATTGTCACTCAAGTCACATAGTGAAATAATAAACATTTTCAATCAATAATTTACACAAAGTGTTGATCAAACCTGTACCTTCTGTGTTGATAAAGTCAGGGAAATCCTATTACTCCAGATACCGCTTTCAGTGAAATGCTTAACACTATGTTGGCTGTAATGGCAAGCAAGATCTGGTCTACATGAGATGTCAACAGAGTCGTTTCCTTGCTTTACCTGGAAGCAAAGTTCACTTGTACTAATACTGACTGAAGTGACAATCTTTTTGAGCCAAAATGGGCAACACAAAGATTTGAAACAAACTCCTCACCACTTCATCCCATTTTGTTGCTAATACATCAGGATAAACAATACCCTCTGCCCGTCCCGAGTACCACCAAATGCAGATCACAACAATAGAAACTTTTTTTTTGTTGCAAATACTCAAATCGTACAAAAAAGGACCAATGTTCATCACAGAAAAGTCTTTTCTTTAAAAAAAAACGGGGGGGGGGGGGGGGGGGGGTTGGGGGGACAACACAATAAAAGTCAACAAAAAAAAAACACAAATGTCCCTCTGTCATTAGTAATCCCAAGACTGGAGCTGCAAGACCAGCCTATGCTAGAGTGTGGCGTCACTCAGCACAGAGCTGAGAAGAAGAAACCCTGTGGCTTGTCCCGTCTCTGGCGGTGTTGTGGATGTAGGGAAGGTGGAATGTCAGACCGCCAGCCGGCCTGGAGGGGGGTGCAGGGGACTCCAGGTTGGGGGTGCGGGTGGAGGTTCCTGGGGGTAAGGGCGTGGATCGCAGCACGGCTGGTTCTCTACTTTGGCTACGCTGCGACCCTGGCACAACCGCCGATGCCGCAACAGCCGGTCTGTCCGTGAAAAGTTCTTCAAAATATACAAAGTGCACATAAATCATTTCAATAAATCAATCTTCATACTGTACAATTTACACAATAACATAACCTGTCACAAAGGCTGTAAAGACTGATTTATATTCTGAGTCGAGTCGACGCTGTAAGCTACGCACATAGCCACGCAGTCGTTTATACTTGTGTGTGTGTACATTTTTGGGAGGTGCGTGCCAGGCTAGGGCGTAGGGTACGCGGATTACATAAGCCTCAGCATAGATTTGATGCAGAAGTATAAATCTGCCTCAAGTATTTCATCAGGGTCACATTGCTGTGTTTCCATTCGTACGTACCTGCTGGCACCGCTCACACTGGTAAGGCTTCTCCCCACTATGGACACGCTTGTGTCTCTCAAGGTGGTAGCGCTGGATAAACCTCATATCACACATGTCACAAGCAAATGGCTTCTCTCCTGAAAGAGCACAAAAATACACAGTCAATGCATCAGTTTTAGCGTCTGGTACCAACAAACAGCGTGCAACTTTCACTTACTAATCTTTATTTGCAAACTATATTTCCAACACTTACAAAAAGTTGGAAAGTAAAAAAAAATTGCCCTATCAGTAAATTTCAACAGTGTAGTTTCAGCATCCGTCAATTGATTGAATTGATTGATTGACTTAATTAAAAAGGCCTCGTCATCAACTCATTATGTGTAGATCAGAGTGGAATTTCTTGTTTTCGTGGCCCAGATCTACGCAACATTGTGGCCCCAAAAAACCGGGGCAAGTATTTTGAGGCTGGTTCAACATCCCATCAAATGACTTGACAATCCAAACTCGAGTTTGTTGTGACCCCGTTCTGCTGCAAGCGCCAGAGCCTCTCTCAGTGATAAGGGTACGGTAAAGGAACGCATACCCGTATGAGTGAGGCTGTGTCTCTCCAGGTGGTTACGCTGAATAAACCTCATGTCACACATGGAACAAGCATACGGCTTCACCCCTACACACACAGAGCAATATATTAGCCCTACCGCCCACAGGTACAAAAAATACAACTTTCACACTCAAGCTAGCACTAGGACTAAATTATTGGCAGAGATTCTAGCTCATCATTTCTTAGTATGTATTGCATTTCCTTTTTTGTATTTTGTAAGTATGTTGAAATATTCAGACATGCAAATAAGAACACAAGTTAAACTGTGAATAATGTTATGTCAGATTTTAACAATGTGAAGCTAAACATGTCTGGCTTCAAAGCAAAAACACCAAGATCTATCAAATGTGAGATTACCATTTAATCACTGTCTGTTTTGTCTGAATAAACATCAGGAACATCCTCACTTTAACACAGCAGCAACAAGACTATTTCAGCATCCTCTCACCTTCCATCTATTATGCTTATATTTACGCCACAAAGACAATAACAAATAATAAATCACCCCCCATCCCCCTCCCCTACAATCTGAGCATGAATTTGAAGCTGTAATTACCGAATATTAAGATCCCTCTAAAGCAACTATCTGCTTCTAAGGTTGCACAAAGAGCTCAATGCAATCAAATGTTATCATAACGCTAACTGAGGGTAGTCTTGGTAGAATTAGCTGTTCGGCCAAAACAAACAAGGGTTTCGAGACCCTACAGTTATGCCTATTGACTGTTAAGAGCACAGTTTAGAGTTATTGCACTTCTGTGTGTATAACAAAAGACAGAATATTGATTTTGTGTTTCTTTTTTGGTAAAAAAAAAAGTATAATAAATGACTTGATCAGCCCAAAATGTACTGAAAAGGTGGTTTTTGCATATTTTTGATTCTGAACTTACTTTCTTACTAAAAACTGCAACTACAGACCGAAGAACCAGAATTTGAGTCATTTTCTGCAGGCTTGTTCAACACTGAACTGAATCTAAACTAACAGAGTGTGTATAAATCAAAATCTGAACATTAGCCTTAAGGATTTCCACAAACAGCATCTGGATCAAGATAGAATTTAAAGTTCAAGGGGAGGGAGACAGGCGCACACTACCGCCTTGACAGTGGCATAATTTTTTTCAAAATCACTTTTTGTTGAGTGAAGACTTGCTAGCTACTGCTACAACTGATAGCTTTCACCGGGCTTGCTGAAACTAACAGGAATAGGCAGAGTTAGTTGACCTTTGAACTTGGCTGGGTGGATTTCTTCTTAAGAATGTGGTCATGGACGCAAGTGTAACACACAAGAGGTTCAAACTATCTGCCAACAATTCTGGAGGGCACCTTTTGCCGAAAAACTTCACCTAGTTTCAACTAAAAGTTACAGAAATGTCAGTAAACTAGTAAATTAAACGTCTTAGAAACAACAAATAACCTGAGCGCCTACAAAAAGCTTGTGTTCTACTGTAACCACGCAAACCTATCTCTCATATTAGCATAATAAAGAGTAAATGGTGATCTATATAATGTGAGAAGGGCAGGTGCACGGACCCATACCCGTATGAGTGAGGCTGTGTCTCGCCAGGTGGTAACGCTGAACAAACCTCATGTCACACATGGTACAAGCAAAAGGTTTCACACCTAAACGCAGAGCATCAATACGTTATTTTCAGGACTTTTAATTTCTATGTCACAATCCATCAATCAGTAATGTACTTTAAAACACTGATTTACAATTGATGGGTTGTTAACCACTTTTTACTTGCTATGTGAAAATGTCCTAAAAAAATGATGCATGATGATTTTTTTTTCTCCAAAGCCAATTAAGGATACATCAAACTTTGATCAAATTTCAGATCCACAACTAAACACATCACATGAGCTGATGATGTCACAGTCCTGTGTTCATTTACATGTAAAGATTTAGTGTTGCATTTACACACACAAAAGCAGGACAGACTTGATCAAGAAAAATGTACAACTTTTTATAATAACTGCCTCAGACAGCTGACCCTGTATCGGGTATAATGTTAAATACAGGCTGATCTCAGTGTCAACGGTACGGTGGGCGGACGCATACCCATATGAGTGAGGCTGTGTCTCGCCAGGTGGTAGCGCTGAAAAAACCTCTTGTCACACATGGTGCAAGCATAAGGTTTCACACCTAAATGCAAAGTAGCAATATTATATTACTTGACCTCAATTTCCATTCTTAACAAATAAAAACCTAAACTATTGGTTATTAACCACACATTTGCCAATTCATGCAAAAACAAAAACATATGTCAAATGTTCCCTTCATGTAACACTTAAGAGTTACCAGCAAAGATAACTACACCAGTGACCGTTTTAGCTATGTCGTCAATCACAATGATTAGCCATTTTTATTCTAAAGAGTTACAATCACAGTCAGGGAGCGATCAATGCTTTTACTTTTGTGTACCTCATGTTAATAGCCTATTGATCAGTGTCTTGAAATGTATGATGGTTGGCTTTCATAGTAATTGAGCATTCCACCACTAATGGTTATGCCTGTTAAAAAAAGGGCTGATTTAGTAAGATAATTTTTCTGAAAAGCGATTTGTATGAACTTTGGTGACCAAAAGATGCAGCAGTTTTAAAGGTCAGGGTTTTTAAAGAACCTTCTAATAAAAGGTGCTAAATGTTTTACAAGAGACAAATTAATATTATTATAAGTACATTTCCATAACCTACTTCGAATCAAGGTTACAATAATGCAAATACCTTGCTTGAAGGTTTTACACACAGCTACTAATTTGGCAATCTCAGAAACAAGACATCTGTGTTGAAACTGTTTGCGCTGCTGATATTAGCACAATAAGGACTATGTAATAATGATGACCTATAGAATGTGAGGGGCAGGTGCACTGACGCATACCCGTATGAGTGAGGCTGTGTCTCGCCAGGTGGTAACGCTGAACAAACCTCATGTCACACATGGTACAAGCAAAAGGTTTCACACCTAAACGCAGAGCATTAAGGTATTAAAGTCAGACTCGGTATTTTGTTTGTGTTTACAAACCATCAAAAAGAAACATACTTCATATACCTATTCAGAATTGATGGGTTGTTAACCACTTTTTTTTCAATTGTTTTGAAATTTATGTTTTAATGGTATTTTTTCTCCAAATCAAATTAAAAAAAAAATACATCAAACTGTGTGAACCAATTCTCAAATCCACAATTTAACACATCACATGAGCTGATGATGTTGCAGTCCTGTATTTCTTTACACATTAAGACTTGCTTTCATGTTGCTTTTACACACACATAATGAAGGGTAGGGCTTGATCAAGAAATCGTTCTACTGAACAGTTTGAGAGTGTAACTGATAACTACCTTGGATGGCTGACTCTGTATCTAACATTATGTAATTACAGGCTGAGCTCAGTGACATGGGTACGGTGGGCGGACGCATACCCATATGAGTGAGGCTGTGTCTCGCCAGGTGGTAGCGCTGAAAAAACCTCTTGTCACACATGGTGCAAGCATAAGGTTTCACACCTAAATGCAAAGTAGCAATATTATATTACCTTGCCTCATTTTTCATGTTTTAAATTTAGGAATTAATATCAACACTATTGGTTATTAACCACACAATTGCCAATTCATGCAAAAACCAACACTTTTTCTTCAGATATTTTCTTCATAAATTCCTTTATCCATTTCAAAGTGTTATAGTTACCAACAAACAAAATAAAACATAGTAATTTACAGTTAACCTGCTCAACTGATAATGCCTAACATGACTAGGAGACCCTGTTAAAACTTCATATTGACATTTCCCCAAAATGCAACAGGCATATGTCTGAAGTGAACCAACTGAATTAAATGTGCACACTGATTTCTAACACTGAAATGTCATGGGCACGGTGCACGGACCCATACCCGTATGAGTGAGGCTGTGTCTCGCCAGGTGGTAACGCTGAAAAAACTTCATGTCACACATGGTGCAAGCATAAGGTTTCACACCTAGACGCAGAGCATCAAGAGAATTATTTTTGTGTCTCTGCCACCAAGAGAAAATAAATAGATAACTTAAAAGTACCAGTATGGACTTAATTGATATCTGTGGTTAATAACCAATGTCATACCCTAAAATGACTTTACAAGGGTACAATATGATATAAGATGCTTGTTTCAAATTACAAAAATTCCCAGAGGGGGATCTAAAATCCACTTACACAACACATGAGATGGTGATGTCATGTATTAGATATTACACTTGAATCATTTGGGTCTAAGTACATATATTTAAGACTAGATCAAGCATACAGATGTTGCAGCATCCTAATCTTGTGACAGGGTTAAGATTGGCTGACGCATACCCATGTGAGTGAGGCTGTGTCTCGCCAGGTGGTACCGCTGAAAAAACCTCTTGTCACACATGGTGCAAGCGTACGGCTTCACCCCTATACACACAAAGTACCAACTTTAGCATAAAAACACTCAACTGCCAAAAATGATCGACGTTAAACTTTACTAATTGCTTAGTAAAGTTTGGTTGCACTCATCAGCGCTTTATTTATACTGGAAATTCCAGCACGCTTCCAAAATCTGCTTTTCCAATTGGAAATTGTATTCATATCTGATTTAAAATGTAACTTCTAAAAAGTCTAAATCAAAGGTTTAAATTAGTAAAATTGAGGGATAATGAAAATATCCTGTGTACAAAGTAAAATAAACATATCTTCAAACTCTCTAAAAATCTACCAAATGACCAGACAATTGATTGAGACAAAACCAAAGCCCCTAATAGGCAAATTCCAACTAGCACAATAACTAAATGTTTTTCCACACGATGCCAATAGGTGCTTGTGTTTATTTAATTTCAACGTGCCGCATCCAGATTTCTGGAATAGATGTGTTAACGTAAAAACTTTTTACAATTTCAGTAACGCTGATCGCAGAGGTTAGACAATTTTAGGCAGTTGGTAAAACAACTATGCACAACACATTTAGATTTGACATTTGTTTGCAGAGTAACTCCTGTGATTTAACTGATTTAAAACTGATGCATAGAAACGGAAACTGCAGTGAAAATAAAAATAAATCATACAGAACCTAGCTTGTGATTTAAGCAAAACTGAACCATTGACTGTGGTCTCCCTTCAAATTTAAAAAAACTGCGCTGTAAAAACAGACTGACAAAATAAAGAACATCCTTACACAAAGCCTGTTTATAATACAACTGAATGAGAATAAACTATTCACAACAGGATTACATGTTATTACCTCACCATTACTTTGGATGTGAAATGACACAATGACTAGCTGTGCGAGCGGTCAGCTCTAAATTTGCATGTTTTAAATTTTTATTTTTATTTTTTTACAGGAAAAAAAGAATTTACTGAATATAAACTAATTTTAAAGAACTATTACCATAAGTCCCGCGACCATGTACGCAGGATAAGCGGTTGACGATGGATGGATGGATGGATATTAAGTGTTTTTTCGCTCCCCCACCAGGCCACATACACATTCAAATGAACAGGTCTATGTGATTACCTGCCAATCTGGTTCCTGTTTATCTTTAGTAACACTAATTGATCAGTTGTAGGCAGTCACGGGCCTGCAGCTACAGCTCAGTATAATGCCTTCCATGACCCACATCCATCAATATTTCATGCAGCTTTTTTAAAAGAAATATTCTTCATTAGATTCAGCTGTTGTGCTGACTGTGTACTGCTGTATTGTGTCAAAGTCGAATTTGTAATTAGAGCTGAGCTGATTCAAATATGAAACCTGTCAGTAATGCTAATTATTTTTGCCTTGCAGACAGCTAAAAGCTTAACAATGACCAGTTTTAAGCACAAAGATTGGTGTTGGCATTTTTGCTTCACGGTCATCATGTTATGTCATTTCATATACAAAGTAGGGGCAAAAGTGTTGTTTTGCAAGTACTTATAAAGCTCCTTCCAGAAGCTTCATGCAACATGTCAATAGAGACAGAAAGCAATACAAACTCGAGTTTGAAGCAGCCATGTAAACATTAAAACGCAAGCATGACCAAAGTCAGGGAAAGAGAGGGTTAAGGTTCAAAAAATGAGGACGTACCCGTATGAGTAAGACTGTGCCTCTCCAGTTGGTAACGTTGTATAAACCTCATGTCACACATGGTACAAGCATACGGCTTCACCCCTAAACAGAGCACAAGGATGTTAACACTGATTCAAGTTCAAGAACAGCAACATTTAAAAAGACAAAGTGAAATGCTTTTAGGTTGTTTATTATTGCATGCTTCATTACAGACAAAATTCTGTTAGACATTACACGAAAAAGAGTCTAAGAACCTGCAGACATCAAGAATTAAGGTGCATCACCAGTTAAGGAGAAACAGGGCGAATGTGCTGCAGTTCGGACCAGCTTGAGTAATATTCAGGTGCATCTTGAATATGGGGTAACTTAAAAAAAAACTTCAACATGAAATTAAATTGGGTTTTCACCACCATCAACAGTCTGTTTGCAGGATGCCATTTCACTATTTAGTCAGGCCAGACATTCTTGGTCTTGCCTGGTAAAATCTTGAGAAATGTAGCCTCTTGACATTTTAAACTATTGATGCCTGCATTTAAAACACTTTTTAGTGTAATGTGACTTTCATTGGGTATGTTATATAGTATTGAACTATACGCATGCACCTGTACCATTACAATGTTCACACAAAACAAGGTAACTGACAGAGAGAGTCACTTTCTCAGTGGACAGTTTTCCAACAAAGCCTACATTTGTAATAAACATTTTTTTAGAAGGGGAAATTAATTTACTACCAATGGCATAATTATGGTATTGTATATAGAGGGGCTTCACAAAAATCACGTGTAGGTTGTTTATATGAAAAGGTTTCATTATAAAAGGGGAACAATTAATTCAAGCATACCAGTATGAGTGAGGCTGTGTCTTGCCAAATGGTAACGCTGGAAGAACCTCATGTCACACATGGAGCAAGCGTATGGCTTCACCCCTAAACGCACACAGTACCAAACTTTAGAAAAGTGTTCTCATGAACTGTGTACACAAAATGTCATTTTACAAACAGTAGCCAGACAAGAAATAAAATGTGTTGTGTCAACCCTAAAAAGCTGTTAGCAAATACATTAAAGTACACCAGAAAAGAAAAAAAAAAAAATCTACTAGCGGGTAAACTTTAACCGTTCATATTTAAGAATGAGATTTCAGTAATACAAATTACAATTTGCTTTGTGTCATAGTACTCTCACAGGTAGGCGTTGCCTACACACAAGGGCAAATATCTACAACCCCCAATGCTGTCAAGTGAGAGGGATAAGTAAAACTTATACCCGTATGGGTGAGAGTGTGTCTTGCCAGGTGGTATCTCTGGAAAAATCTCATGTCACACATGGAGCAAGCATATGGCTTCACCCCTGCACACACAGAGCAAAATATTTTATAAAAACAACACAATGAACTGAACAGGACACACTCACTTATATCATGTATCCAGACATGCCAAAAGCAGTGGCACCAGTATGATGCAACACTAAATATCTTTCACTAACATTGTCTAATCTATCAACAACAAAAAAAAAAAATCGGACCTCAATGAAAACATCCTCTGCTGAACACAGTGCAGCTTTCCAATGCAGACATGCATTAGAAATGTCAAACAAGTCATACACAATTCAAGGTGTAATTTACAGGCACTGCAGTGAAGTACCAAATGAGGTAATGTAACTTAGTGCCTTAAAGGATTATGTCAAAAAACTAAAAGCAATCCTCCAGCATGCCCCAATAGTTAAAACTGCTTGGTGCTTATGAATATAAAAAAAAAAAAAACAGATAAGTATTTCTATAAACAAGGGACAGATAAAAACTTCAGTAAACTGGGTATTTGGGCTCTAATGTAGCAAAGAAGGATGAACCCATACCCGTGTGAGTGAGGCTGTGTCTTGCCAAGTGGTAGCGTTGGAAAAACCTCATGTCACACATGGAGCAAGCGTATGGCTTCACCCCTACACACAAAAAGTACGTAAATATAAACTAGAAATAGAAAACATAAGTTTCAACACATAACCATCAACTCTTCCCTTAGAATAGCTCTTCTTTTGCTTCATTATACCATCAGCCTGAGAAACAAATGCTTGTTTAGCAATACATGTAGCCTACAGTGTATGGTCATGTGTTTTATGACCACAGGTCATTTCAGTCAAACAAAAAGAAAATCTCATTAAAAAATTTGGAATAATGAATAAATTAATTGTGCAGAACAAAGTAGAGCATTCAGCAGGGGAAAAGCTGATGTTTTATACATTCAGGCGCCCATGCACCATGTATTTACATTTCCTATCCTAATACATGTCTGGATACATCTTTATGTTTCTGAAAATATGAATATTCGAAGCTGGTAGTCATTTTAGACACCCTAAATCTCTGTTTACACTGCTATGAGTGGGAAAAGTTAAGACACTTCTAAAAACACCACTACCTAATGAGCTAGGGTAAGCAGACGCATACCAGTATGAGTGAGGCTGTGTCTTGCCAGATGGTAACGTTGGAAGAACCTCATGTCACACATGGAGCAAGCGTACGGCTTCACCCCTACATACACAAAGTATCAACACATTAGCTAAGAGGTTCCTTCAAGCATCAAAGGAGAGCATCATTCACAGGCATTAAATCACTGGGACCTGGCAGTTATTACACATTCCCATCAAGCGTCATGCGAAGGGGTCTTTTATTTTACTGCTAATTAGTGAAAGTGTCTTCTGTTACGGGGAGCATTCATTTTTCAAATAAGCTGGAGTACATTGTGAAACAAAAGCAGCAACAGGATATGAGCCGAGCATGTTTCAAACAATATATACAAGGCAGGAGCAAGAGAGCAAAGAAACGTCTAAGACGGTGATCACACTGGCCAGCTGAAGCAGAAACATTATCACACTTCTCCACCGTTCACTATTACGAGTGTCGACAACACTGTTTTGTTGTGAGCATATTTGTTGCAGTCTTATCGCAAATTGGTTTAACGTCCACACAGTGCATATTAATTCAATTTATGGTGGCAGTAAAGTGCATATGTTGCTTTGTAGTGTGTTTGTTTTCTAGCACTCCAAAGTGATCTGCCTTAAGTTTCAAAAGCTTCCAATCTGATCTCCGCCATAAACTTGCAGCAGAAGCATATGTATAAACAACTGTGCAACTATATAATAAAAATATATATTTAAAAAGCCAGACAATTACAGCTAAGACACGTGAGTTGTGCAGCCATCATTCTGCATGTAAAATAGGTGTGGACATCAAAGGACTATTCCCATAATATACCATGGCCTAAGTTAATCAGCTACTTTAATATGGCAGGGTCAGGCGGGAGGGTTCTAACACAGACTAAAATATTAACTTGAAATAACCAATTAATTTGCAAAATTCAACTTTATAGTAAAGCCAAGCACAACCAGATTTCCGAACACTTCAGTGAGCTAGTCTCCTGAAAAATGTGCATCTGCGAAATTACATTATTTTGCCCTTAAGACATTGTGACCAATCACCCCCATCTCTTATACTGCAGCTATGACGTCATGTTGATTCATTCAACAATCATGGAGAAATCTACTCATAATCTCAGTTAATACATGACAGGATACGCAAAACATGTACAACTAAAGTACACAACTATGCCCACAATGTATTGTAACAAACAGCTAGCTTTATCTCAGCTCTGCTAGCATGGTAGAGCGTAGGTAGCCAATATCCTTGAAATAAAAAAAATCAAATAGAAAAACCAGACTAAATTTATGTTGAGCAATCAGCAATGGTACAGGAGGGATAATACACTTTGAGGGGTCCACGGGATCTTGTACTTACATCTATTCATGCAGTGCATTACAATAAATGTATGCCATTATTGGAAGTTAAATAAATATTGGGCCATTCGCTGTAAAACAGGTGATGATTCAACCATGTAGTAACTCTACAGGCTATGGTCTCAACTGCAACTGAAAAAAGATGTTTCTATATTTTGTCCACCCAATTCAATTGATTTATCTGTTTCTTAACATAGGATCTATTACAGGCGTTTGTGTTAGATTGCATTAAACCGTATAGGTACTACAGATTGTACATTTACTAATGACAGAGGGTTGAGATAAAGTGTGTCTGGGTGAAAAAAAAACAATGGTTTAAAGGCATGAACTCCTACAGCCAAACACTGACCCCAGGACCCCTTAATACAGGATCATGAATAAAATGTAATACTACAGGGCTGTTTGCTTCTATGTTGTTTGTGTGGTCCTTAAGACAGTATATATGTTTTTGTTCTCAAGCCTCTCTTCAATAAGAACTATTCATCTTAATGAGAAACTACCCGATTAAATAAAGTTTCTAAACTTGAACTGGGTACGGTAAATGGACGCATACCCGTATGAGTGAGTCTGTGTCTCTCCAGGTGGTAACGCTGGAAAAACCTCATGTCACACATGGAACAAGCGTACGGCTTCACCCCTACACACACACAGAGCATAACATTATTAGCTAGTCAGTCTAAGCCAAATGTGGAGAAAGAAAAAAATATATTACAAAATGTATCATGTTGAAAGCAGAAAGAACAGATGCAGTGTTGCCACAAAGGGTAACCGCTTACTCAAGCCACTAGGATATTGGACTAAAATTAGATATTTATATACATATAAACCATGCCAAATGAGTTGGGTACATTTGGTCAACATTAGTTTACTATTAAAGCAGTGCTTTTGGTGATCACTGGGGCAGTAGCCACTGACTGGGAAAAACGATTAGGTTGGAAGTTGACTTACCCACAGCATACTTCTTAAACAATGAAAAACAAAGAGTTTTGTGTGAAAGGGTGCAATGCAAACACTGACACTATGCAACTCAAGTCCTCAACTTTCATTGTATATCAATAATTAAGAACATAGTCCTTTGATGTCCATGCAGTTATTTACACTGACAAAGAAATAATTATACACAAAAATAATTAACAAAAAAATAAATCTTGCATGTTTTTTTGCGGCCTGTGCTTGGAGGCTTTCACAGACATACACTGGGGTCCACAAGTTTGAGTCCACTTTCAAGTCCACTATCAAAAAGTCTTGTTTACAGAACTGTTTGTTGTTATTATTTAGCAGTAGAATTGATCTAATTTGTTTTTCCTCAGTTGTTTCAAGAATGTCTTATTCTTACCTAAGAAATGCACACAGAAACGTCACAGAAATTTGAATGTTTAACAAAAAGTGTTCTTTGTGATACATAGTGAGAATTATTACCTATGCTTTAATGTTGAGTTTCAACTTAACATTCTCTCTACTGGTCTGGTAACATTGTGTGAGGAAACCAATATTGTGGAGCCAAGTGGTTCTCTTTAGTAAGAGCACATATCTGCTTCTGAACTTAACTGAACGTTTTAGAGCGAAAGGAAAGATTTTCTCTAGTCAAATCATCCAGCCCACGACATGGCAGACTTGATAAAGCTGCAAGTATGCTTCAACAGAGGTGCTTGTCGGATGGTCAAACAGTGTGGGTAGTCCGATGTGATCTGTACTTGTGACCACAACCAGCTGTGACACAGCACTGCCCGATACTGTACTGCACAAGGTGCTTACAGAGCATGCAGCAACTGCTAGATGGCAGAACACGCAGGATTATTAGCCTGGGTGTGGTTCCTCTTTAGTGACCACACCACGTGAAGACCAGAGTGTAACAAGCTGACATCTTTGCAGGACCCAACAGCATTTACATGAACAATGCAAAGTCAAATGAACCAAAGGACTTCCTATTTGACTTGTTAAAGCAAATTGATGAAAACAAGTTAAAATGATGGGTCAAAAACAGCCATGGGGCCAAACAACGTCAAAGCTGAAGACAGGAAGAAATTAGGTTTTGCTGTATGAGACAAGAGAGACCCTTTTCTCCCTCCACAGGCAGCAGAGCTCAATCCCACTTAACATTCAGGAGAAAAAGGAGGAATGCAAATCCAACATCTCTGGGATCCTCTAAAATAGTGCTAAAATAATGTCGATTTTCAAATCCTGCAAAAACTTCTACAACTGATGCCAGTCAAGCTATGATTAAGGCAAATAACAGACATTCAAAAAAGGAAAACAAAAATGTGTCATAAATGTTTAAACAACAGTTTTTAATAGTGGACTCTGGACTATTGGACCGGTGTATTACATCACCTTCTGAAAATATTTTCCTGGTGTTGGGGGACCAATATTTATAAGAAATACTGTGCTTTATATTTTGGGGTGAACAGATTTTTTTTTGGGGGGGTGGCTTTGTTGGAAATTACTGTCCACAGACAAAATGAACCCTGAGCATCTGTCCATTGATGACATTGGTGACAGACTACAGATGTAGTCCGATTTATGTAATATGGGTACGGTTAAAGGACGCATACCCGTGTGAATGAGGCTGTGTCTCTCCAGGTGGTAACGCTGAATAAACCTCATGTCACATACGGCACAAGCATACGGCTTCTCCCCTAAACCGAAGAGCACCAGTTTTAGTCAAAGTCCCCACAGATACCACCAATTAGCTGTGAGGAAAAAGCTATTACCAAACAAGGTTGTTGTTTTTATAGCAGGCCATTGAAAAACCTTACAGTTGCTGCACACTCCTAGATTCAGTTCAACTCAAGCTTTCAGGGCCTCTTTCAAAAAAATGGTTCATGTAGTCAAGCATTAAAAGCTGTTCTGGCTTAACTGCAAATTCAAGTTGTTCCAAGCATGACCCATACCTGTGTGAATGAGGATATGTCTCTTCAGGTGGTATCCGCTCCTAAATGCTCCGTAACAGTGATCACAAATAAAGTTTTTCTGCACTTTGGATGATGGACCATTCTCATCTCCACCTGTGCCCTAATGAGGACAGTAAAGAATAACTGTTCAACATGGGTTTTAAATGGCAACTCAACAGTGAGTGCACTAATAACTATTAAACACAAACACAATGGCACAATCTGTTAAAATATACCCACCCATGACTGCTCAGACCTGACAAAAATCTAAAACTCCTGTGAAATTTCAGTAAATGTAAGGCATGATATCTGGGACGTTCTTAAGACTTTGCACACAAAAGCAAAAAAAAATTGTATGTATATTCTTTTAATGGTTTATCTTTTTCTAAAACCCAAGTTATCTTTGGTATGAACAAGCAAGACATGAACATTTGTTTTGTTGTTGCTACATTCAATTAACATTTGAATTGAGGAACACCCCACAGACCCATCCGATGGCCTAATGCCTTCATGTTACTGCTCCCCGTTATGCACACAACTGCAGTTATTGTGCTCGGCTTTGCTCTGCTCCCCTCCCCCTCTTTCCTCTCTAGAGAGCCTCCACCCCCTCCACATCTTCCCTGAACTCCTCCTCCCCCCACCCCCACACAAACAAAAAGTGCACACATGAAAGCTCCCAAGTCAGGCGCACTTGAATGAAGTTAAATGCTTTTACAAAAATATGTGCAAGCAGCTAAACGGCACACTTTATGTAATAAGAAAAAATGTGAACTAAAAAAATAAATAAAATAGAGACCATTCCCTATTTAGCAACCACAGTCACTGACCTTCCCACCCCTTCCCTCTTGTTCTCTCACTTTACAGGGCGTTACTGATTTCCTGTTCTTTTTTTTCTGCTGCATGTCCTCGTTGGCCCTCATCTCCTTCTCGTCAAGCAGGCGGGGAGCTTGGAATTCACCTTCCTTCCGGATAAGCTACAGATCCAGAAAAAGTCAATTATTTCCCAATTTCAGATATTTTAGCTTTAAAACTAAAAACAGAATATTTAAACATGATTAATCTGAACTTCTATTATGTGCATGTTGCCGCTTCCAGCTAGAGTCATAACCAAAATGATTTAAAACAATTAGAATAATTTCAGACTGGAGGAGGAATATCATTCATATAATGGGTTTGTAAGGGCAAGGTTATATCCATCTGAAACAAATCTTAATTTAAATAAACAACAAAACTATTGTTTGCAGTGGTGTAAGGACAGTGGGATATACAGCGCTTCTAAAACTGTAAAGATTTGCCCTTGCATATAACCTGGTAGTGACCGTTTTTATATCCTTAAAAGCATGTATGACATAAACTCATATTCCAATTTATAAGTGAAAACACTACTAAAAACAAGAAGCGGGGGGTTGTTTTAAATAAGAATAAACCATCATGACTGAGTTCAGAGCTAAAGTCCACCCATGCTGAATTTTTCAATTCCAGAAAGGCAGTGGGTTTACACCCTTCATAATATTAAAAGCATAGCATATAACAGCCCCAAATCCCAAGTCGGTCCTAACCAGGGGTGGACAGCTCATTCCAGATGGGAGGATCATGTGGCTCTGGGGGCCACGGTCAGGTCCCTCTCTCTGCGGTGGTCCATGGCCAAGTGGTGCCATCATTTTTTTGGGCGGAGCGGCCATGGAGCTAGCCTGCATCAGGGCCATACTGGAGAGGACCGCTTCGCAACCAAGCAGCCCCGCCTGCAAAGTAAAACAAAGAGCAACACTTAACCAACTACATCGACCATTTAAAAACACTCTGCAATTTGAAATGACCTGCATCTCTGACAATATTGCCGGTCACATGGCATTTGCCAAGCTAGTCATCAACGACAACATCCTGAGTGACACAAGACTGCAAATAAAGTTACTTGTCACCACTTTTGGTGTTGCTCAAAACAAACCCATTTCATATGGTCGCGGACTGAGCTGCTGGGCAGATGTGACATTGCTGTGGTGTATGTGAGCGCAGGGACAGGGGTGGGGACAAGGTCATCCAGAGATCCGTCAGTCAGGATGGTCGGGCTGGTGGGAAGCCACACCCCACCTCACTCATCTAGCATTAAAACTGAGGAAGAGGAGGATGTGGATGAAACAGACAAACATTAAATTACAACAGCATTACTCGCTGTCTTTTTTTATTAAACATTTAATTAACTCCAGTTAGGATGGTCATTTTTCACATAGACATTTCAACATTACAAAATATAGGCTAACACACCCCAATATTATTTTTTGTTTGTTAAATTAGTCAGCATACTTTATATTTTATTAATCATACTGTATATTTTCCCTGTTGCCTTTTTTGTCTTTGGAGTTATTCCAGTTGATGACGATAAGTTACTATTGGGCTACTACAATCACATGCTTCTAAATAAACCCTAATAAAAAATGAAAACCTCAATAGCTAAAAGGACCTCCTTCCAATAAAAATAAAGAACATTATCTTGTTATAAGTACGGAAAATCTTATGTCTAGCTGATGTCCATGACAGTGGACTGCAGAATAATTTAAAGCCAACAGGGATGTTCACCTTGCATTCTGAAATGTTTGAAGAAACATTTGAGGGAAATCTGCAACATTAGTTTTAGTTCACACAACAAAAATGTGATACTTTGGATCTACATGATATTGAAAACACTCCTAAAACACAGTTAGAACTGCTCATTGACAGGGTTGAGCATATTTCTTATATAATCTATTCCAATATTCTGCATTTCAGGTTTGTCTACATTTATTCATTTAGCTGACGCTTTTATCCAAAGCAACATACAATTGCTATGTATGTCAGGGGTCGCACGCCTCTGGAGCAACGAGGGGTTAAGTGTCTTGCTCAGGGACACATTGGTGTCTCACACCAAAGGCATGTGTCTTATCCACTGCCCCATCACCACCCCTTGAATCCTAGTTTAATTTCTTGGTACATTATTTTGGTGAGAGAAATAACAAAAAAAACAATACAGTATTTTGAAAACAAACTATTTTTTGCTATGGAACACTGGTATAAATGACCATGTATCTTCTGATGTGTTTTGGTTTAAATTACTTCATCTCATTCACAAGTTGAATGATTGGTGATTTACATTTAGGTTACTTATGACAGTTGTGTTAGCATCAACTGATTTGAGTGCATTAAAACTGCTACTGCTTCGCTGTAGCACTACTGTTAGTGAGCAAATGTGTAAGAGTAATAATGTGAGGGGAACAGTTATAATGCATTATCTGCTGTGTACCTGTTATTTTCTTGAAAATTAGAGATGAGCGATCACTAATTAAAAAAAAAGAAAAAAAAAAAAAGGACTTCCTTACATGACTTACTACTTTCTTAGTAATACACCCTGCACAAAGCATAACTTTTGAGAAAAATCTAGTTTTTCTGTTTAGTTTGAAAGTGCAAACCTAAACAGAATATGAGTGGTTGTAACTCTACATTTAGTGTTGAAGGGGAATCTAAAAGCTAACATTTAACAACAGGGCTGCAAAATATAAACATTTACACAGCTAGTCATTAAATGACACATTTAGTACATTAAATCACACGTTTTGCGTTTTTTTTTTTTTTACAAGTTAGTTAACGTTGCGTTACGAGGAGGCCACGACATCACTCAAAGAAAGCTGCTCTGTATTTTGGTAGATTCTCCAGCTTTAACGCTACGTTTTGGCTTCATTTGTTCTTTTCTCCAATTGTGAAACTGTAACGCTTGTATGCAATCACAAAAGGTTGACGGTAACGTCAGCCTTATGGATGCAGATATATACGTTAACGCTACAGTGCTTTCGCCATTGGCGTTGGTTAGCTAGCTAATGTTGCTAGGAAAATAGATTGCTAGCGTACCGCTAACATTGTCCAACGCTAATTAAAAGGCAACGTTACGTCGTATAGTTAGGGTTTGGGCTGTTGTCTTATTTGCCAGCAAAGGAAATACCATAGCCCTAACATAATGTTGGTTTAAAAATAATTGTCTTTTTTCTGCACTGACTGAGCTGGCCTTCGCAATCAGACGTTAGTTTTGCTGATGTTGATCAAGCTAACAGCAGCTAGCCAGCAGGTAGCTGCTCGCTGGCGCCCTCGCCCACTGAAATGTTAGTAATAATCGGAACATTTTTTAGCCCACCTGGTCATCGGTTTGATACGGTAGTTTAACAAGAGTATCTATCTTGCTGAGTGGACCAATGCATCTTTTCACCATGCTAATAACACAAGACACAACTAGTTCAAGACGAGATTGGGCGATAAAGACATTCGTGATGGCCGTCGTTGCGAGTTCCTCCCCCTCCCGATGATTAAGCTAACGGTTGTTAGCGAGCTAGCAATGGCTAACATTGACGCTGTGTGAAATTGGGTAAAATCCCTTTGCTGCCATTTCAGAGCGTGGCTGTTTACAGATGAAATAGCAGCACGCCACATGCACAGTCAAAATTCACCGAGCATCGAAGAAGAATAAAAAGATATGTATCTACCTTTTTTAGCTTCACTCTCCCGACGTTTGCAAGAGCGTCTAGTTTACAAACACAGGAAACGCCACAGGATGTAACCCACTCCCCCACACAGCAGCACAGCCTCTTCAAGCGGAGAGAAAAGGGTCATCTTCTTCTTTCAGCTCCTCGGGAACACAGAGTGCGACCACAATCTGCTTGTTAACCCGTTGTTTTTTTAAATATTGTTGTGGAGGTTTTACGTTATATCGACATTTGCTGTTGTTTATGGTGGATGTTGTTGAGCTGGCCTTTCAGTTTGTAGCTGATTCAGACGACGGCTGCAGAGACTCCGATGAAAAGGAAGGAGTGGACACTAAACCCACAGAAAACAGGGACACGCAGACATAGTGGCAGTTTCAGTGGCTCAGTCCGCTGCTCGTTTGTGCTGTATGGCCAAATTAATATTTGTTATTATATGAGTGCTATATGTTGTCGTTGCTCTTTTTAATTATGTAGGCTAATTAATATTGTGAATTAGCTCCTCCCAAGCTGCCATTTAACGGGCGATATGGCGTCACCGTCAATTGTGTCAGCATTGATTTATTTTAGTTTACTCTGCACTTTTCTCCCTTCTTACCCTGACAACAAAAAAATAAGAATTTGTTCATTCTCTTTTTGAAAATTGTGAATGAATTTGTGTTTTTTTGTGTTTCAACATAATTTTCAGAATTTCTTTTAAACGATTGATTGCTGGCCAATAAGAGAGAATAATGTATGTAATATTTGAAAATGTTCAGTCAAGAATATTTCATTCTGGCTATATGCAAAACAATTTAAATCAGTGCATCAGCTGATAAGTTTACATTTGACCATATGTGTTGTTAATACATCAATAACTAGCCTTAATGATGTGGACATAAGCCTATTATAATACTATTATTATGAGTTAAAAATAATATGACAGTAAAATAAATATGTTTTCTCATATTGTTTGAGCAACAGCTCAGTAAGGTATTGTTTCATTAGCTGAAGTAGACCATTTGATAAGTGTGTGTTCCTTTGGTGGAGTGAGAAATAACAGACAAACCTCACAATCAAAAACTCATTCTAAAACCACTGTCTCACTGGCATATAACTTCCTGGCCCCAGAGTTATCAGGCCGCTTCACTGCAAGAGCTCCGGCGCTAAAGGATACAATGCCTTGCTCAAGGACTCTTGAGCAGACTGGATGATTACCAACACTGGAGCATCAAGAAAGGTCTTCAAATTATACCCATGGTCTCCCTTCTCACAGCTCCACCTTGTCTTATTTACAGCTGGTCTTATTTAGAAGGCAAATTTAATGCAAACACCCCATGCAGCATGTGCAGGAGCAGCAACGTATTTGTATTCCCATTTACAATTAATAATGAAGATATCTCAAAGGAATGGTTGTTCTGCAGACACTTAGCTAAACTGTAGCCTATTGTAAAGTTGTATAGCCTATATGACACTGATATTGTCGCCCATTTAGAGAATCCCTGAAAACCCCTGAATCACAGCTCTATTTTAAAATGTATTAATTGGATGTCTGCTCATTTCTTTCTTGTCATTTTGTTTGCAGTTTGAGTAGCATTTTGTGTATGAAAAATGTTACATAAATAGGCTACATTTTCTTATGATTATTGTTATTAATATTACTGTAAGTATTTTACAGTTTAATCAAGCACTTAAAATAATCTTTTAATTTAACCTAACCTAATAAGAGCAGTGATCAACCAAACTCTGGCATCACTGCATTGTCAGTCTCAGGGGAATCAGTTACTGCTCTGTCACTGGACTGTCAGAAACCTGAGTTGATCAGGATGTCTGCTTGCTTTCTCACTTGCAGGGCGAGTATCGCTTGTTCTCGGGAATTTTTTTGGTCGGTAGTATATGCTAAGGCACCTCGCGCACCACCCCGCGCACCCTCACAGACATAAACGTACCAGGTAGGGGTAATGCAATACCTAAGGTCATTGGTGTATAAAATCACGTGACCCAGCTCTTCCACTCCCACGACACCTTTCTGTTCACTCCGCCTCTGTCTGTCCACACCGGGCGGTGACGCAGCGGCAGCAGCAAGTGTCAGGTGTCTCAAGGTTTCACTAAAAAGAGTGACTCGACGGAAGTTCGACAGGTAAGACAAAACTTAAAAACAAGGATGTGAAAACATGGATAAATTTAACTTGAAGTATTGCAAAAAAAAAGTCTGTGTGTTTTGAAAATCCTTATAAGCTTGTGAGTGTTTAGATTTGGGCGTAGATTTTTGTAATAACGCACGTGCGCATGCATGTAACTACTCGGTGTTGCCCTCAAAGAATTCGTTGTCTTTCGACATAATCGATGGCAAACCAGTCCAGCTGCTGAGTCTGCGTAGGGTTAGGTTGCCACTTTATACACCCTACTCCTTAGTCTAAATACAACTTACATTTAACGAAATGATATTACAGTATTAAGTAGGCTATATTTAGTCCTCCTCTACGTAGCTGGAGTCTGGCTTTTTACAAATGTCACGTTCTCTATCTCATTGTGTTATACACGTGAAATTAAAGTTCTTCAGATAACATGTTGGTCTCTGATCAGGGCTGTTAATCTTCAACACAAATCATGTCTGTTTTGTTTTTTTTTACATTGCCTCAGTGCAGATTCTTCAGTTCAAACTCAGTTATTTCCATATAAACAACATCTTATGTGCAGTGTTTTTTAATAATAATTGCGTCTTGGGTCAGTCATGTGTTAAGCAATGCCAGCTCCTCCTTATCATGAGTCATACTGTATCTGACTGTGTTGTGGTTACTTGTTGTTAAGGAGAATGTGGCTTGAAGTGAGGGTTAAAGGTCAGTATCCACCTTGGCCTGATCACATGTGATGGAGATGAAGCTAAATGCTGGTGATCAGATTATCAGATTTAAAAATCTCATATATCAGATACCCCACAATGGTTCCAAGGCTCCACTTGCAGTGCATCTCACCCCCTGCTGAAACAGGACCACCTCTCTAAAAGCTTTGCATCACATTGCCTTTGAAACTTCTGATTCATAATGATTTAAGTCAATGTTCTTTCTCCCAAAGCTTGAGTTCAGAGAAGTAACACATAACATATGTAATAGCCTATCATGCCAGGAGGTGTGGAGCTGTCAGAAATGAAAAACAAATGACCCTTGTGAAGCTGATAGTGTGGCAATTTATAAAAGATTACATTTACAGTTTGTCATGCAAAAAAAACCTGTTGGCTATTATGTGATAGTCACCTGTAGAATACTTGTAGTTTCCTTTCTGTATCTATTGTTTTTATTTCCCTATAAGAAGAATAAAAAATTCCATTAACAAAAAATGCAGTAAATGCAAATCTATCATTATGTTTTGTAGTTGCACGTGATTTATAGGAACAGAAATGTGTTACTTACAAATAGTGGTTTGTACAGTTTAATTTGGATTTGAATAGTGACCTCATCTGTGAGGATGGTCTGCAGAGTTAAATGGCCATATTCATTTCTTTACTCTCAGGCCTGCAAACCAGGTAACACGGAAGAAGGTCAGAATGTAAATCATCAGAATTGTTTCCACATACAGGAAGAGCACGCTATGACCCCACCCTGTTCTTTATTTAAATGAGCAACATTTCCTGCTGTGTATTGATTTTCAGATGACACCTCTGTTTAGATCTGCTATTCTCATTTGTGCACTTACAGTGAGAAAAACTTGAGTTTGATTCTCAATCCTAGTCGAGTTCATATGTTCTCCCTGTATCCTTGAGTTGCTCTTGCTTTCTTCAGCCGTTTAAGGATATGCAAAAGAGGTGGATTGGCAACTCTAAGCCCGGTCCACCTGAGTCTGTCAGTCTGTCAAGGGTGTGTCTTTACCTTTTCATCCAGTGCATGCTGGAATAAGCTCCAGCCCCCCGATATCCTGCAAAAGGACTAAGTTAACTAATGTGGAGCATCTTTTCGTCATGGCCACCAAGTTACAATATTGTGTGCTTAACCCAGGTACCCCTTCAGTAGTAACTGTACACAGCATGACACACAAGTATCATTCATATCATTGTGTTGTGTCTAACTTGGCTTTTTGTTGATCTTTGCCTCTGCCTATTTAGAAAGACAAACAATAGCCTGACAATAAATGAAAGTAATTACATATAATTATATACAATTACATATTGTGAAAGGATCAATGTGTAATTCCTGGCCACATGCTCCAAACAAATAGGGGGCATCATTTCACCTCCTCCCCCCTCTGTCTCAAGTTTACAAGACAACAATTTGCTTTTAGTCGAGCAAGAGTGCTGTGCTTGTGTATAAAACATGGCGTCAGAGCTGTTACTACTTCACATTCTGTTAATAATGTTGGTTCATTTTTGAATGTTTTAAACTATAATTCTGGCCACATTTTACACATTTCCCCCTTTAGTGTGTAATATATGAAATGTTGTAGTAATACATGTTGTAGTCATCTAAATTCGGGATTCTGTCGATAATATAGACAGAAGTGCAGAGTGTTTAAAATCAGGGCTATGTTGAAATTCACTTTAGTTCAAAGTCCTCCAACTGCTTGTCACTGGTATCGCTTTGCATCTGAGTGGTGACGTAATAGCTGCACCTTAGTGAAAAGGCTCCAACTGTAAGATAAATGATTATTGAGTCTGTCAGCTGTGCACAGTGGTGATTTAAACGCATGGTTATAACATACTGAGCGTCTGAGCACTATAAGAGGGATCCATGGCCTGACATTAGGAAATTGGCAGACACAGAATTTGTATAAGAGTCTCGTCATCCATCTGCAACACATACTTAAGTGTGGGTTTGTTCGAGTGAAGTTAAAGAAGTATTGTGTGTGTGTTACCTAGTGTGGTTTTTGAAGGTGCTTTTCTCTGATCCTCTGTGAATGTTGCCCATGTCGAGATACCCTCTCATCATGATGATGATGATGATGATGTTCGCACTCTCAGGCTAGCCACTTGTAGTTTGCATTTCTGTCTGGCAATCAAGTGCAAGAGATAGAGTGCAAGTCTGAACGTGTTAACTTGTTTATTTGCATGCCTACCTGTATGAGCACTTTTAAAGTATGTGCAGGCACTCTGATATGTATGTCACGTAGCGGGGGTGCGACAAGAGGTAAACTGAAACTGAGCATATGGCAAATCAGTGATCTCACACAGCAGTAGTTTTTCCTTGTTTATTCCTTTAAAACAGGCTTGTTTGGGAAATGATTTAGAAGCGAAGTTTTAATAAGTGTAACACTGAACTTGGCTAATGGTAATTGCATTTGTATTTCAGGTATTCAGATAGCTGCCAGAGATGGAAAGTGGTCCCTTCAATCGACGGTCCTGGGTGACACAGTCTGTGCGTGTCACTGCGAAGGAGCTGTCACTGAGTGGCCGAGGGAGAAACAATGCCATTGCTGAGCGCTTCTCCAAGTGAGTAACACCTGGTTTTCAGTAATGTTTGCTGTTAATTTACACTTATTTACACGTATCTGTAATACAAAAAAT